ATATATGATTAAGATCTCTCGTTTTTTCGCATTTTCCCTGTCTATATATTCATATATATATATATATATATATATATATACTTGATGATAGCATGTACAACGTATTCTACAATACACAACGTAGCTAAGGTTAAGAAAGCTGAAGCGCGGTCAAACGCACCCAAAGCAACTCGTTTCATATTGGCATAGATGTGTTGATTTTTGCCCCATTTTAAGTGGCCTTCTTACAGTTTGCAATACATTGAATTGTGGTGTGAATAATACACAGTCGATCAGATCAACACGGCACTGTAGTGTGTGATACTGGTGAGAGAGCCCCGATTCTTCCAGTGATGTACTTGTGTAGTAAAGGACCTTTCTAAAGGGTGGTGTGCATCACTACAGGTTTTCACTTGAGTAACAACTCATTCCGCTCCACGTGGGTAACTTGGGAAAGATGCTTCAGTTTTGTATGAGCCTTTTTCCCATAGGGTGGTGGAAACTTCAAACGATTAGAAATTACTGCCCCGCTTTTTCAGCACTTTGTTCTTTTTTTGTGTGGTTTTTTAGACGATTTTGCCCTCCATCATTCTTGTCTTTGTTGCTTCGTTTTATGGAAAGTTTCTTTTGTCTCCCGACTTTTTTTGAAAACAGAAACGACAGGTCGCCCGCTCTGGTTCCTACGGGTTTAATCTATTGCTGTGGCTAGCAAACCTATGTCACATCGTTATTATCTGTAATCTTCTCAAATCGTTATTTTGTATGCACTCAACTAAGCTTTCAGTTGTCGTTCCTATAATCGGTGAAGGCAAATACATATTTGATTTCTCGTTTTGTCTATATTCGTGTACTAGCTACGCTTTACTGCTTTTTTCAAATCAACACTAATTATTTATTATACTTGGTTAACTAGGCAATTATCAATAGAATAGAAGTATGGCAAGCGTAAGTATAATAAAGGTACATAGGAACAAAAGTGGAGAGACGGGCGTTAGTCACGATTTTAAAATACAGCCAACTTTGTTGGCAATTGTTTTCCTTCATGCCTCGTATGTCCTTCATGTTGTGAAGCTAAAATGTGTGTTATAAACAAAACGACAAAAAATAACGAGTGCTACTTTTTACAAGAACGTGTTTACATGTTTGTTGCTGTTCCTTTTCTTCTTAAAGAGAGTGCTTTTTTCATCTAGTGGTTCATCTTCAATGGGTCTTAGTTGCCGCTGTCGTTAATGTTGTTGTCGTCTCTGCTAGTTTCAATTTATATATATGCAATGGAAGAGGACTGATTCGCGACTTGAACGGTAGAAGAACAGTTTCAGTGGTAATAAAACCATGATTATATGATGATCATATTCTGTACGGGCGTTCATTTCAAATTTAATTAATTTTCAATTGTTTTTCTTATCATAAGGATATCTCAGTATATCAATAGTGTTAATTACATTCGTTTCTCTCGATCATACAAGTCGTAATCATAGCAATACTACTCGCTAACAATTATGATCATAGTAAGTGTTAATGCATAGCGATGTGGCCTCTTGCGTCTGTCACTCTACGCAGCTGGTAGTGAGTATAACTAGTGTAATAGTGTTATTTCCGTTGTACAATAACGTCTATTTTTATTTTTCCACCTCAGTCACACTTCGTCTAGTATGCTTTTCTATTTTTTTTTTTGCCACTGCTGAAAATCACTTCTAATTAGCTGAATGAATGAACGAAAAAATGAATTATATAGGTCGATTTATATTCATTTTTTTACTTTCATCCTTTACCAAGGAGTTATGTGTGTGTACAAGCTCGGCAGTATTTTGTTGTATCTGGATATTGCTGGAACGGCTGCGGAACCTACTGGCCGAAGAGAGTTTCGATCTAGTGTCACTCTCGACTCACAACGGTTTTTCGATTCCATCCACGCTCACGATGTAGTATTTATCGAGTAGTGACAACTAATTGAAGGGGAACAAGAGTCAGAACAATGTTTATATATATTGTTATTGTCGTCCCTATAGATGCTCCACTTAATGATGAATACTACGATAGTGATTGACGTTATACGCGTTCACGGGAGGACAGATGAACGTTTGTATTATATGGAGAATTCCAGAATATTAGTTGATATTTCTCTACCGAATTTTACTGTATCAATTATCAACGTGGCATACGATCGTTCGATTGTTTATTATGCATTATGGCTATTATTATCATTATAATTATTTTTATAATATTCACACACATTTGAAGGCTCTTTGTCTTTTTTTAATTACTGTAAGGCTAGTGCTGTGTCCGCACGACTGTGTATTTTATAAATGGCGACCAGTCGACTACTTAATCGGTTCGATCAGTCGTAAATGTTGGCGCGCCCATCGATAACCAATGGATAGTTTTGTATTATATATACAATTGGTTGTACGAGATAAAATGCCTAACAGCTAGAGCTCATATTCAACGTATTTAGGAGTCCAATTTATCATTTCGAATTGAACAAACTTTCCTTGTAGCGATTAAGTCATTCTTCCTTCGTTTCAATTACCTAACGACTCACACAGATAATCGGGTCATCAAGTTGGGTTTTATCCGTTTACGTCTCGAATTCACTGACAGCTGTCGTGACCATTGGTGTATGTGAATATATACAAAGGACATTAGCTTATCTGTCCACCTTCCGTCTAAATACCCGTGAGCACATATGAAGTATACTCGACAATACCTTCATCATCAGATTCGGTTAGCTAAGTGGCCGTTGACCACAAGGTTTTTTGTCGCCCGTTGTATCTGTCTTGTATACGCCGTATCGGGCTCAATGTAATTATTGTGATTTCCCTCGTACTAGGCAACGATGGCTTTCTGATCATAGTTACATTCGTACGGACGTTTTTATAAATAGTGCCTTATGACAATAATAATAATAATAAAAATAGAAATGAATTAATAAATAACGTGCAAATCACAGCAATGGCCCTCCGGTTACAAACGCTGAGGGTCAATTTTCGGATTCAGTTTTTCGGAAGCAAGTAGATCCGCTATTAAAAAACATCTTCCTTGCTCTTTCTCTCTGTTTCTCTTTCTTTGAATGCTATTGATGTGATTAGTTAATCGAAAATGTTGTCTGCCATCAATAATCCGGGTCATTATTGTATTGTTTGGCATATAAGGTGGACTTTTTTGCTTTATATACCATGGCATAGCCTTAGGCCAGGTAGTTCAAACGAATAAATTTAAAACTTTCTAATTGGGCGCTCACGCTTTCTTGACACTGAGAGGTGAAGATGCATTGTTCTTTCGGCGGCGGGCGAGGCTTGACGCATCCACGGGCTCGAGTACTGGACTCTTCTGGCCGGCGTTGATAGCTGCAAAGGTTGCGTCCATAGCTGCCTTTATCTGACGTGCATCTTGCGAGTGTGGCAGCTGGCGCGTTGGCAATGAAGCTTTGGACAGCACCCATGGATGCTGCAGGATATCAGCGGCTTTGTAACGCTGCTTCGGGTCAACATGCAGCATCTTCTCGACGAGGTTCTTCGCTGGCGGACTGATGTTTGCCCAATTACCCTTTTCCAGATCAAATTTGCCTGAGCCGATTCGAGCTAGAATGTCATCCGGTGAGTCGTTCGATGACGCGAAAGGAGTATGGCCCGCTAACATTGTGTAAAGAAGTACACCCATTGACCAAATATCACATGCTTCGTCATAACCCTAAAAAGCAAAAATAGCCAAAATATGCAAGCGTGGATATTGTTAGCATTATTTTTATTATTACTATACATTGATAGCACGATCAGACGAAATGTATCTGGGCAAAAAAGGTATAAGTTGCACATGAATAGGTATATTAATTGAATATATGGGATTGGAAAATCATGAAATTTTGTAAATAATCCCAGTTTATTTTGATCACGAAAATAAGCTTGTATAAAACGCAGCATAGCTGAGTCGCATTGAGTTTCCTTCAACGTTTCATATCATTCACAAACTTTCACTAGATCTATGACTTAATCAAATTTACCTGTTTTTTGAGCACCTCTGGTGCTACGAAGTTTGCGGTATAACAAGGCGTCATCAGAAGACCATTTTCAGCGCGCATTTGTTTGGCGAAGCCGAAATCACAAATCCGCAGGCTTTCTGGAACACCCGATGAATCAGCATAGATGATATTGGATGGCTTTAGGTCGCGGTGTACGACACCATTGTCATGAAGGAATTTTACAGTCCTAGCCACAACTTCGACTACCGCACAAGCCTCGCGCTCGCTGAAGTGCTTCTCAAAAAGGATACGATCTAGGAGCTCGCCGCCACGCAATAGCTCCATCACAATGAACACGGAGCCGGAGTCCTGGTAGACGTCGTAAACCGTCAAAATGTTGGGATGCTGTCCGTAACGAAGAAGAATCTCGATTTCCTCCTGGCAGTCTTTCTTGTACTTATCTACGATCTGCACAAACGAGTTAGCAACAAAATTGCACATTATGTGTATGTAGGTATAACTAACCCTTCGAAATGTACACGTTGGAGAGGTTTAAGTTATTGCTTAGTGGTTAAATTGCCCATGGTTCATGCATATTTACCGTTGCCTTTAACTAAGATGTACATACCTTGACTGCGTATTCTTTCCCTGATTGGCGGTGTACGCATCGTTTGCATACTGAGAATGCTCCACGTCCAATCTCTTCCTTAATCTCATAGTCCTTATGGATCGACTCTTTATAATTCAGATTGTACCTACGAAATCATTTATGTAACAGAGACTTAGTAGCGTTCTTTAACCATCATTTCGCTTAGGCTTCGACATTTCTTTAATAACACAACCGATTACAAAGAGCAAAACAGGTATCACACTGCATGCAGCAAATGCCAGTACATGAGTTAGAACGCCCGACACATGAAGACCGATAAAATGCGAGGCAGCCGCGGAACGCTTGAGAAGGTTTCAACATTGTAGATTGTCACTATCCTTGTCTAGGTTAACAGAGTAGACGTAATGTTCTGGTTACTCTGGCGCATGTTCATATAAGAGAAGCTTTCGAAAGCTTCAATCTGTATTGAAGTTACCGGTTTGGCCTTTCGAAACGCCTTATTAACTAAAGTTTAACTGCAATGTATTATTGAACATCACACAGAAACCTGCACAAAGTCAAGGGAGCCGCAAATACCATCGATAAGTACTCTACAATTAATCTCAACACATTACACTTAATCCATAAAATAATGGAAAAATATGAACACGGTTGTATATATTAGAAAAAAAATTTACTAGTGAAGTATAAAACGGGAGTTACTTTTTTTATCGTGCCCTTGAATGTGAGTATCTGATGGACCGCACATTATGTAAGGCTGCCTAGGAGAAACAATGTTTACGCTTGGCAGCCTGCACTCCTGCAGGCTATATCAATCGCTGGTGGTAGCCCTATTAGTTTTTTGCGGAAACGCAACATAATATCACAAAATCAACACTATGATTCGAGATATTAGGTGTCAACGATAATTTGAACTAATGTGATGAAGAAAACGCAGTTTGATAACTACAAGCGAAGCAAGCATTGCCTGTAGTCGAAACAGAACGGTAATGACATTCACCGTAAAATAGGATTGGATAAGGTGCATCGACGTTGCAGCCTTTAAAAACTCTGACCTAGAATACGTGTATCGCCTAACTTGTTTTTTTTTTTATATTGAAATGACATAAATCAAGCTAAATACTGCTTATCTATTCATATAAATTCAACTTTACAAGATTCAAGTTTATATTTCCTTGAAACAAGACCTATTTTTGCGATACTTTATAGCGGCCTGCTGCACCTCCAGCAAATAAAGACGATCGGCTAAAAACTTGCTACCAAATAGGCTTTTCTTCTGGTCCGTATAACGAAACGCCAATTCACGAACCTGTAATACGATAGATTGCGAGCTTGCCTGTGTTATTTAACAACCTGCGATGGGCCTGAGGAAGGTGGCGCCTCAGCCCTTTCATAGTCAGTCATGTGAGATGAACTGGTCCATTTAATTAGTCCACCTGGTTTTATCATCGTGTACCACTGCTATCCAGCCATATTCGATTCTTTGTACTCTTCTATCCAGTTCAGAATATAAATACATCTATAAATAATGTATATTATATATATATTCGCTCACGGCCCACGCAACAGCTTATGTATATTGCCAGTGTTGAGTCAATTAAATGCATGGTACCACAGGTTCTTAAGCAAACGACTATTCAATGACTTGCCACCGACCCAACTGAACGCCAGGTCATGCGAAAATGTACTAATGCCAAGTATACGCTGCGGCGGTGGGTTAGCGGCTGCATGCATCATCGATCAAAGTAGCGTTCTGGAACAGCCCTAAGGCTATCTAAGCAGATGGAAACACCAGCAAGCTAGCGCTTTAACCCATTAGGCTCCCGCGTTTCTCTAGAAATGTCACTTGCCGTTAGCCCTCTTTCGCGACTTTCAAGCTTTTAGCTTTGCAATTAACTCGCGTCGCGTAGAAACGCATCCGTCCACTGAAAGCAACCATAAAAAGAGGACAGCAAGCAAGCTCATCGAAAGATGGCGAAAGGCGACCCATGATATTGAAAATTTCTCAACCTTAAGTTCATGATAATAATAACTATAATTAGATCAACAACTAATCCTATGATTCCAGCAGCCGCGTTTCACCAATAATCCGTAAGGTACGAACTTTGGTAGCATCTGTTATCGAATAAATTGTGGGACAGATAAGCGTACAAAATAAGGAGAGTAGTTCACATCTTAATTTCTAAGCGTTGGCGTATACATACATATTTGTAGCGATATATAAATGCAAATTGTTTTGACAATAGGCCAAAAAAATAATTTTGTGATATACATGTTTTGGTTTGTGCTCGGTTTCATGTTTATATACCCTGATTCGGTCGCATTGAAAAGAACTTTTTGAAAAACATCTTTAGTGATTTGAAGGACTGCATATTTACGTACGATATGTGTTATTATGGGCATGCAAAGAATGCCACCGCCTACTCTGGCACTCACCATTTAGCAGGATCACCGTTGGGCTGCACTTCTTCCTGGTCGAGCTGCGCAACGAAGCTGAACCCCTTGAACAGCTCATGGGCGTTGGCAGACGGCGGAACTCCCGGTGAATCTTCGGGGGTTTTTGACGTGAACTCCTGAACAAGAGACAAAAAAGTAACACAACAATGAAATTCAATATGATTATGGCCTGGCTATAAATGGCAGAATAATTCGTTTTGCTTAGTGAAAAGTGCCATTCTGTTGCGCGCCGCAACCCTGCTGAAGAAAAGCACATAATACTGCTTCAATTCTAAGTTCCCGTGTGCTTCCACAAATAACTGTTTAACGGCCGCTCCCATGCAGAAATCGAATCCACTCATATACCTTGTCAAAATAGACGGTATTGTCGGATCGGTTGACAGCTGGAATAAAAGGCGGCGTCACCTGACGATTGTAAAGGGCTTCCCAATCGATCGATTGGAAAAATGGGTGCGACTTGATATCGCATATGCCGTTCGGGCCCGAGCCTGCAATAGAAAGCATCCCGAAGCAATGATTAGTTCATGGACGAGTTTATTCTTTCTGTTTAATTAATCCAAGTGCTGTTATACCTGTATAATAATCCCATGGTACTATGTTGCGCTATACCTTTCGTATAAACACAGAATATTCGTTTCGCCTAATCTTCTACTGTCAGCTAGCAGACAATTTCCGGTTGAATATTATCCGTTCAAGCTAGGTGTCAGCGGGTAAGCGGCTATCTCAGTCAATCACGACCATACTCAAGCCATTGTGCTGTCCACGAAAATGCAATAATTACTAGCTTTTCCCATTTTCACAAAGTTCTTTCATAACATTCCAACTTCTTATCTAGAATACACACCGATAGGGCCTGTTTTATATAATGAACGTTATGACGTAGCAGTTTTCAAGAACTAACACATTTTAATCTTAGGCCAAATGACCTCGGTAGTATGTTTGTAGTGCATTCTGTCTGGCAATTGCCGACGGTTTTCAAGGACGAGTCTTGACCGTCAATCTGCTTGACGATTCAAAAGCCCGCAGTTCCGTTAGGTATTTCTGTGAAGAGGCCGTAGAAGCTCTATATGCTCAAATATTTCGTTTTGGGTTAATGCTTGCAGAACGAAGGACCGGACGATACGGGTCGCCATCGGCTCAGCATAACCGCCATGTCTTAGATTTATGAGCATAAAAAACGTTTTGAATTTGATCTTCTACAAGTATATAAGAAGCTAAATTAAAATCAATATGTTTATACAATGTGATACATGTGCTTCTTTATACACATAAAGCCGATAGGGCAGGTTGGTTTGTTTGGCGGATCCCTTTTCAGTTCATGTACACAACCCGGATTACTACGTGAATGAACCGGTGGTAAAAACAGTATATCAAAACTAGATATCTTCATATATATATATAGTCATGATGAATGACTTCGACAATAAATACCTGCTAGTTCGTACGAGCTTAGGGTGTAAAAACGCTGGTCAATATATAGCGTTACTCTAAAATCAATGATGCAGTCCTTCACAATATTTATATAGTTTTTATATAGTATTATGGGATGTTGTGTCCTTTATTATTAACATCACATATATCAACAAGTCAAAGGCACACACTATCAACAATTGTGACTAGTTAATCGGATGGCTCGATTTTGCCGTAACTACAAATTCATTGCACACAAACGTATTAGTTACGACGACGTTTGAAAATAACAACGTACGGTAGAGGAGTTCGAGAATTTCAAATGTAGTTAGTTACCCAATCTATTATCGGGGTTTCGCTTGAAGAGCGCTCGGAGTAGCAGCTGGGCCTCCTGCGAGATGAACTGTGGCATGCTGAGCTTCGCCTTTAATATTTGGTACATGGTTTCCTTGCGAGTTTGCGCTTGGAAAGGTAGGCTCCCTGTGGATGCGACAATAAATACTAGCCTCAAGCAAAACAAAAATGGTATACATACGCTTGGCCAGCAAGTTAACTTTCGAACAAAGAGCACGTTATTTAATTTATATGAAGATAGATATTTACAAGTGCTTATTATTATTCATATGAAATTTACACATGCATATGGTCAAAAACAAAAAGGGAATTATTCGAAGTAGTTGAAAAATTATCACAAAAGCTACTCACCGGTAAGCATTTCATACATAAGCACCCCATAAGACCACCAGTCGGCAGCTGTCGTATGCCCCTTTCTGTTGATGACCTCTGGCGCCATGTATTCGACCGTACCACAGAAGGAATAGGCTTTCTCGTCGTGTAACGCCTCTTTGGACAAGCCGAAGTCCGTTAGGCTAATGTGCCCGTCGGCATCTAGGAGGATGCTGAAATAATTTGTTGATAAAAACTGTGTAAATAGTTATATGGGGAACTGAACCAAAGCTGAATTTTCCCAGTGGTCAAGACCTAGATTTGTGCTATGTTTTACTATACCGCAATTGTTGCTTGCTATTGTACCACAAATATTGTTTTGTGTGCTTTTTAACGCATTGGTCTCATCTGCGTAATAACGGCAGCAACTTTTTTGTCACGTCCAACCGCCTTACGTGCTTAGTTTACCTTAGAATAAATATTGCTAGGACAGCTTCCGCACGGTTGGTGGCGCTAGCTTTTTCACAAAGTAGCATAGGTGAACGTATGAATTTATTAACATGGTAGCTGACGCCGTCATGATTATATAGTGTTCTTGAAGGTTCGCTAAGGAAACGGCTGTTTTTTTTTCCAGTAATTGACTCTGTGGCTCAAAACTTTGCATAGAAACTATCTCTATGGAGAGCAAAGACAAGATGCAACTCCGTCCAAGCCGTCGGCCACCTAGGTATCCGCGCGGATTTCAAGATTGCATTCTTTTATAAAACTATAGCTTGTCATGATAGACGCTTGTTTTTGAATATCATTACGTGACGAAGGATAAAAAGATGATGTTCAGCAGACCACTTAACGTCCTAGGATAATGGGACCAAGTAAACGCTGACCGCGCCCAGATGTGAGATAACAGTAGCATCTGCACACGGCCTCGCCTTAAAGATTCGGATATTTAGCTATATAATCTAGGCAATTTTAGAAGACGCTAGGGTCGCGAAAGTGCTCCACTAGAACATTTGCCCTCTGATTCAACGTCTACCATCGACATATACTACAGTACGTACGTGATTAAATAAAGATAAGTTCAAATGTTACCTTATTGATCACAATAGCTTGCACGACCTTGTTTGGTTACGAGGATTAGAATTAATTTAACGGTTATTCCTTGTTCATAACAATAGCCGCAGCACACCGAATGTTGAGGGCTTAAAACACAAAAACTTTATTAACAATTTTTCACCTAAAGAGCTGAACGCTACATTACCCTGCCATGTACATAGTGCATAGGAGGTCGCTTTTGACGATAGAATGAGATCCGTTTAGTTTTCATCTAACTTAGTCTACAGAACCGTTGGGTTTTTATTGCTGTCTGTCGCCAGGTCCCTGTAGGCAACGTGCTTGAGTAGCATTGTCACAGGCCTTTTCGCTTGCGCAGATTTGCTTCAACGATCCGCTGAAAACAATCCTTACGAGCGGCCTTTCCCCATCTAAACGCGGTGGCCACCCCCATTTCCCCAGGACAATTCGAGGCGTATGTTTTAGCCTGAAGAAGGTGAGTCGCCTTTTCGCTACTTGCTAGATGCCATTGAGCCATCGACCTACTGCAAATAGGCGGCAGTAAATGTTTTTGAAGCTTAACAGAGGATAACTGAGGAACATACCACAAACAACGCTAAAAAACATTGTAACTCAATCTAAGATTTGCACGTCTCGACACTTAGGCAACGCGTACTTTACACCAGACCGGTCCTCATGGTACAGAATGCTGGTGTCAGCGGACCCTACTGCTGCCTGTTCGGTATTTTCGGAAAGAAGAAACCAGTAATGGATTAGGTATCTTCATCACAAAGCTTTGTGGTACATGACCACGTTTTTAAACACTGTCACTACCATCATCATCGGTTTTGCCTTCGCTAGTTAGTTATCGTGCTCGTGTTCTCTCGCTTACCCGATCACAACTAGGTTCATAGGGGTTGTCTCATGGTCTTAGCTGTTAGAAACGTGTTGGGATAGAGAGAACTTGGAAAATTACCTACTGGTTCGATAGCTTCTTATAGAAGGGTCAAAAGTGGCAGGGGGCAGTTCTGCTGGACGAAAATTGTCTTCTCATAGATTACGTTATCCTTCATCTTTCATGTAAGGCTATCGTTCACTGTCATGGTCACTACCTAAAATGTACATAATTTCGTTAACGCAACCCCTCAAGCCCCAGTCATGTTACAAGCGTGCTTTGACAATGTAATTATTAAGATGATAACACAAGCGTGTTACTAATAAAAGGTCTTTTTTTTTTGGTAACAATTAAAAGTATTTTGCGCCGAGACTAGTGTCGTGTAAGGGACCAAATAAAACTGAATATGACTTGGAAACGCCATGATATTAAAGATAATTAGATATAAATATAACTTGGTGCTTTCACCAAAATGCATATAAAATATGCAAAAGCGCGTTACATTTTTACGGAATACCTTAGGATCGTATAGTGTCATACGCGGCTTATGATTCATTTTTTATGTCTGTTTTATCCTCGTGATGGGGAGCTTTATTTTTCGCTTCTGTCGTTTGCTGGGCAGAGTAACCTCGGGTCCAGTAGAAGCAAAAGTGATGACGTGTGGTCCTTACTAATTTCGGAGTATCCCTGCTGCAGCTACCATAAAATGGCTATGCCTATCTAGCACATATGGGGCACAAGAGCCAGCACCCCCTAGTGCTCCTATTTTTTACATCATCCTCCGGTATTTCGCAGGATACGAGAGAGCTTAATCCTTTTCTAGTCAGTCAATTAGCTGTGCTAGATGACGTCATGGTAGAACCGTACCTAAGCCGCCAAGCCGCCATCCCGCCTTCCCCACTGTCTCGGAGTGTGTTCATCATCGCGAGAGTCCCTCAGATCCTCGAACCCATGACCTGAGGCAGGCTCATGGCTTTTACAGCGATTTGTGAAAGTTTGTTTCATCTGTAGCTACTGCTCCTGTAGACCCACTTCGCTCGAAAATGAAGACTTCAGTGCACCTATTCGTTTTTCTGTACGACCACTATTACGAACAAATGGCAATATTGGAAGGGACCAGTACTGGCTGGCACTATACGTTGGTGACATACGTAAAAAGCAAAATAATGGAAAGGTGAGGAATGAACAAACGGTGCCTAGAATGTACCTTTGGTGATTTGTGCCTTTAAATTGCTAGTACGATAACCGAGCCGTGATGGGTATGTTCACAGTTGGCTTTTCTGTGAAGGCGTGTTTGAAAAATGGATACCTTTGTGTTCTCATGCTTTTGATGATATCAACTAAGAAATAGGAGCAAGTCAATGACATACACGTCCCTGGCAGGCGAATATTTGACTGTAACTGTCAATGAAGCCTAGTATAACTTTAGTTTATAGTGGCTGCAAAAAGCTAATTTAGAATTCGTGTTCGAAACCGACAAAGTAGCTAACTTCGTACCTTCTTAGGATCGGTACACCGGCTTTGTACACGTTGAAAGGTTTTGTAACAATCTAGAGCAAAACATGAATTTAGAACAAAGACACTGTTCCCTTGAGATCGGTTAGAAGAAATAATAGCGAAAAAACAAGCATTGCCACAAACGTTATTACTCCGTTGTGAGACTTAAAAACAGAGTCAACCTCGTCACGCTTGCCAAACGTGTAAACATGCACATGCGTGAAATATAACAAGTAAAGAAAAGATGATATTACTACTTGGCCCTTTAAAAACTGTGTAATGCTTAAAAACTTTTTTGTTTGTTATAGGCTTCATGAATGCCATACTGAGTCACGTTACTGCATTTCATAGGACGGTGAGCGAATGGGTGGGAAATACTTGGCTATTGAGCTTAACGGAGTAGTTCATTATTAATGAACACGCAACTTCCTGATGTGGTGCAACGCCATAAATTATCTATTTCTATCTGGGCTCAAACTTCTATACGTATGGGTATACAATACATATTGAATCGATTACTCAAAAAGTCGGACTGGTGCATAATCTTACACCCAGTGGACCATGAGCTTCATGCTAGGGATGCGATGTTCGATTGGGGTTATCATCCAGAGAGGCATCACCATTTAAAGAGAGCTTTGAAAGCGAAAACTTATGAATCGAATCTGAAGTTTACCTAGACGATATCATCTTTTTAACTAACATATTCACTGAAGTACGACCTGATTTTGCCGTTTCTTTGAAGGCTCGATTTATATAAAAAAAGGTTTCAAGGTACAGGCGAATGATTCTCGACGCGGAATAACTGCTTAAGTAACTAAAGTAAATAATATGTTCGTATGGCATATGTTCCGCACGGTTACGTCTTTCTTGACTTTCGGGACTGCTCTTTTCAAGTCTGCACTTCGTCGTTGTTGCGGAGCGCTTGCGTTTTGCGTCGCCGCGTTTTATTTACAACTTACTTTTCTGGTTTGAGATCTCTGTAGATGATTCCTAGGGAGTGTAGATGGTGCAAGGCTAGAGCCAACTCGGCCAGGTAGAACTTCACATCCTGTTCCGTAAACATGACCTCTTTGCTCAGACGGGTAAAGAGATCACCCCCTAAAATAACACCCAGACAAGAACAACAATATCAATTATAAATGTTGATCTTCGATCAGAGAAACAAATATGCCAATGACAGCGTAGACCACTATGTTCATATAAATAATAAATATCGACTCTTGTCAGCTCTGCGAATACCAATAGCGTACTTTAAACACACGTTACTCCGATACATATTCATAAATTTTCATTATTAATTGATTTAATCTATATTTCATTCCGATAGTGATTTATTAGCATATGCATTTTCCGCTCAATGGTGCCCATATTTTAGATAGAGCCTAGTTCCGGATTGTCTGTGCAGAAAGAGCTGATTTGCAAAAGCACTTGTCTAACTTTATTTTAAAAACAGCTTCGTTCTGTAGATATTCTGGCACGTCCTGGTCCGGTCGGATGAAACGACAGTCTGAGAGTGTAATCTCATCAAGGCACCGCATGACTCTTATCGACACAAAAGTGCAAGGGACTAAATAGCTAATAAAGGTCTGCTCAGTCAGCTATTGGCTCGCCAACAGTGAACAGGACAGCACAAGATGTCGCGACAAGGTGTTGGGTCACCAAATAACAGCTGGGCTGTTAAAAGCTTACGGTAAAGTAAGACTTATGCTTACATAGACAGAGTGCGGTTTTTATAATAGTCTTTTTCTAATAAAACCGCTAGCCACCAGCGGCGAGTAAATGCATACAAATGTGCCCATAGATATGTATTTTAGTTCAAATGAGATGATGATCCAATCAATGGAACACGTTATCGATATGAAATTACATAAATAAATGTTTTGAGCTTTACGTCCAATACTGCCGTTAGGCATTGCTTCAGACATATGGACTTATATAATCCCCAGTAACAGCTGAACGTGGTCGATACCTTTTAGGAAGTCGAGGATGAGGTACAGCTTTCCTTCGGTCTGGAACGCATAATGAAGCCGAACTACGAATGGGTGCCGCACCTCGGCAAGGATGTCGCGCTCCATTTTCGTACGAACCCGATCCCGCACTGGAATATCAGTAAACAGACGAATAGACTGAGGAACGCTTATTTGCTAAACTTTTCAACTTAATACAATTAGATGACTTCATACAAAACTATTAGGGTACGTACACATATAATCGTCACTTATTATTGTTGTTATAATCATCATTATGATTGGCTCAATCGTAAAGGCTGCATTTTTACGTAAACCTTCAAAGTAATTTAGTCATGGAGAGCTTGAGCTATTCTGCGTTCTCCTGTTTTTTTTTTCCTTTTAATACCGTAGACATTAGAGATGCTTTACTGTATGTATAGGAAAAGGAAATAATAGCTTTCATCATAACTCCAGAGCTGGAAATTTCACATTGCAGCATTACACTAGTATAACAGAATACATTAGATTTGCTTGCAAACAGATTTTGTATGAGCATCTGGTCTGTAAATAACAAAGGCCGTTATCCTTATGATTCTGCAGGCGCACGGCTAAAGGAACTGGAAGGCATGGGTGCATGTAACTTCGACAGCCCACGATATACTCCGTCGTCTTACTGCCGGGAGGTCGTCAGTTACTCAGTAACGAAACTAAATAGGCTTCGTTTAATTACTGATCTAACAGAGCTGTCACCTATGGTGAGGCTACACAGTTCGCAGGCTTATTAATTAATCAACTTTAGATATTATTATTAGGCAACTAATTAAATACTTTTTACCTGCTACGTGTTCGAGTCCTTAACTATGTCTAGTGAACTAGAACTACCGTAGAAAGTACTAACCTTACGAACTAGAAACAAAGTGAGTACAAGTGGATCAATGAAATCCCTTAGAAGGATTGTTCTACGTTGTAAGCCAAGCAACACCCCTGTAAATACACATACTAAAATAGGTGACGGGTTAGTGCAGACGCTATCCGCACGTTCCTTCTAACCTGTGTCCAGATATATCTGCTGTTGTCCTTAGAGGAGGTCTGTGTTAACATATTACGAAGCTTCAGACACCCAATAACATCTACTGAACCCGATCAGTAAGTATTTGGTCCACTTATTCACGAGTCCACCCATCACGGAGCCCCAGGGACTTCTACACATGTGTCCCTGACCATCCCGTCATTTAGCCGTTGTTGGTCGTTGCTGTCCTACTGAACTGACTACCCCTATTGGGACAATATGAAAAAAAAATATATATATCCTTCCAATCGCCGAATTCTCTCCAGTTTTTGTTATACAATATATTTATTTTGATGCATCTTTTTGTTTACGGGGCGGGGGGGACATTATTCTCTACATTAAGTAACGTCGGCCATGTGGCCTTTTGTGTATGCGTACACGCATAGATTATAATATTTATCGTATCTCCATATATAAAGAGCCATTACTGTTTTAATAGCATGCATCTGTGATCATAGCTGAACGTTGTGTTTTCCTTGTGCCGTGCACAATGAACTAACAACAAGCGTGAACAAATTTTAATGATATATAGTATACAAACGTGCCAGCATTTTTCATCTCTGTTATGGTTCTACACTGTTCTAGCTCTCCTTAGCGCCGACGTCCCTGAAACTTTCTGTAAACAGCAAACGTTTATCGTAAAACGGCGTCCTTTTTTTGTCATCCTATTTCTGTAGGTTTCTGTTTATAGCCGTTACCTGGCTCTGCAAATCTCAACGCAACAATAGCCGAGATTTCTCCTAGTTGCTCTTGTCGGACACGCTCACCGTCGTTTAGACAGGTTTTTATGACTTGAACAAGGAAAAATGTTTGCTTCGTTGAAAGGAAATTTATTAGCATGCAGCCGTGAAAGCGATCTAGCTATCGTCGTCACGATTAGGAGAGAGCGTTTTCAGTAGCCTGTCCTTTAAGGGTGGCTAAAATTAGGCTTTAACTAATTTTGACCGACATCGTCCTTCTGCGTCCCATTATACAGTGTATTTCCGATGTTCGATTCTTTGCCGCATAGTTTTCGCGGCTCCTGTAAACAATATCATTGCCTGCGCCATTCCGTCAGAACTCACCCAAATAAGCACCATTTGCGACGCCGCATTTCGTAACCTCTTCTACCCTGTACATAACAGATGAGCATGAGGCAGCTTCTGTACACTGAGAGCAGCTGTGACGTCATGGTTTATTTTTTCAATATACGTGTCTTGTGTTCCTAGAGCGAGAACTCGGTCGCAGCAGGGACATTAGGCGCAAACTATATGCAAGCATATGAGTGTTCCAGTGTTGTATCAAGAGAGCACGTAAAGAGCCTGAAGCTGAACCTTCAAGGGAAAAATAGGACCTTGAAGAGAACGAACACGTCGATAGCCCCTTAGCTTTAGCCTCGTTAGACATTACCATAACTAGGCTCGTGGGAAATTTAAAAATTATCATAGGTAAGAGAACTTCGTAGTAGCGGAAAAAGGAAATGTAAATTGGTCACATAACGGTAAAGGGTGACTTATAGTATTAGGTGTATTCTCCTAATAAGTAATAGAATGCATTACCTGGTTTTTTGTTTTTGTATCGCGTTGCACTTTTTTGACGAAGTCAACTAATTTACAACAGAATGGATTGGAAAAGACAGCGTCAAGTATGTGACGGGCAGAATCCTCTAGTATTCATCAAAAAGTTCCGTGTTATGTAAACGACTTGATCCTACTGCTAGAACTAAGCTATTGATGTAAGGAGCTGGCATCTTACGTCGTCCATTGAGTGAAACGACTAAGCGCACCGGTAGAAATATGGTCACGATAGAAATCACAATAGAAAAATTAACCCAGCAACACGTTATCAGGTGTCGTTGTTGTCTCCACTAAGTGGCTTCTACAGCCGATCTTAATACGAAACAGAATTGTGAATATTATAACATATATATGTTTAAAAATAGGTCAAGGAGAGCCAATGTGTCTTTTTGTAATGAAATCAAATAACGTTTCGTCCTGTTATCCATTGGTACGCTTAGAAACCCCAAAGGAATTGTCAGAGACGACTGAAGAATCTAACTAAGTCTTTGCTGGCCTGTGGCCAGGATAGCAGATTCAATAAGCGGCTGTACATGTTTAGAGCAGCGTAGATCAGTCCGGCTGTAAAATGAATTAAATCCTGAGACAAAGACAATGTTATTCAAAATAGACTACAATAGTCACGAAAGAAGAGCGTTGCAATAGACAAAAGGGAAGATTTCATTCGTAGCAAACTGGGTCCCACTTTGTTGTTAGTTCGCCGCTTGCACTGATGAACATTTACAGTAGGAAATATGTTTTTGATTGCCGACCACTCATTGTTGGATAATCACTCAACTAGTAGGTATACAGTTATAATGAAAATAACATTAATTACGTACGTCTCACTGTCCGTTTGCCAAACGACCTTTCGACGTATAGATATTGTTTTTCTAAGGAAGAACAATTGTAGCGTTTAATTAATGTCTTCAGAGGGGTCAATTTAGCGGGTACTGCGCACTATAGTTAGAATCTAAGAATCCTGGCATAGGTCTCACACATCGTAGCAAACACGTAGATATGAGATTTGCTGTATCCTTCAAATATTCATTGGAAACCTTAAAAAAGGGTCCCTATTTGGGTGTGCACAAATTTATTTCTGCTTACTTAGCAGGACGTATTGACTTCGTGCTTGACAAGCTCTATCATTTTCAAATAATCAAACGCTTTTAGCTCAACTACCTCTTCTTGTTATGGTAACTAAAATTTAACCCAATTTTCATCCGGCGGCAGAGCAAAGGTTCCACGGAGTGGCCTATGGTTAATCAGGACTTCGCTCGCTAACCACTTGTTCGTTCTGGGCTACTTAAATCTCCAGAAGCCATTTCAATTCCTATAGATTTGCAACCATGCGTTAGTCAACATTTTTTGATCCACGTGCTCATCCAATCTGACGCACAGTGAGTTCTTCAAATTCTAATCCTGCACTTCCTAAACCTACGATTTACTGTATACCGTAGATACAAGCCCATTGACAACGGCCATTCATCTACGATTTTACGGGGGCCCCAACGATCAGAATCGACAGAGGATCAATTTCCACTTGTGAAAAAAGTTGTGGATGCTCGAGGTAGATAAGCCTTTTCCATTAGTTTGAAAGGCAGACTAAAGTTACTTTTGTCACTGAGCTGATAAGGATTATAATGGTTTACAGCTGTGCACTGTTTCTCTCTGCAGACACATAAACAGATGTATAACCCTTAAGGTGACTCCAATCGTGATTAACAGAGTCTCTAGTTTTCGAGTGTGGCGGAATGCTCGATAGAAAATGAAAAAATCGTACATATTGGATCGCATACGTTGACACTGCGTCTCGTTAACCCGCTTAACATAAGTCTAATATACGAAATCGAAAAGCACGAAGGGTGCCTACATAAGTGCAATAGGTACACTACAGGACGTGGGCGCTGGCAACTTCTCTTCACCGTTAGCGTTTATCAATAGGCAATTGCAATTCATTTAGCAATATGTTATGTAAAATAGATTGAGAAAACGTCTCAAGTCGCACCTTTGCTAATGAAAATCTCGGCATGTCACCCCGAGATTTGTATTCGAACATCGACCTATAGTGGTGAAGTTATTTAGGTTCGGAATGAAATCGTTTCGGTCTGGACCTTCATGCTGTCGTCGGAAGCCTAGAACTTGATCGCCGTGTTAAAGATTAATTTTAAGAGTCAAAATTTAATTAAACTTATAAACAGAGATACAGGTCCAAAAGGCACATCGGTTTCAAGAGACTTCAACATTACACCGACCTAAGCATGTATCTGTAGCTAGGTAAGCTACGAAGCACGCGCACGGTGTCGCCCTTCGCAATAGAGCCCTATATATGGCCAATATGCACGACAGCGTAGTTTGTCGGTCGTGTAATATCTTGGTCGAGAAAGCACAAGCCAAGAAAATGTAAATATCCTACCTTCTTCGTTGACCTGCAAGAGTGATCGAGTATTTCAGCAGGTTTACAAAGACGTATGGGAAAACTTGGTTCAAGTCTAACGACCAGATCAGAATAGAGCGAGACTTCTAGAAAGCTGAGTGTCGTGGGCTAGCCGAACCTTTATACAGCAATGGCAAATGCAATTTTCGCCCCTCGAGCAGAATCAGCTTATGTAGGAGATATAGCTAACGCTACAGCAGATGATGAAACTCCATGAGGCAGTTCCAAAACATCGTTGCCTCTAATGCCCGTCTTGCTTGATAGGCTTAGAAACGCACTGAATTAAAGCTTAGAACGAAGCCGTCTAAAACAACTCGAACAATGCGACGTATAGGCAGCTGTTTATAATTAAATAGTCTGCGACTATTTAAGGCGTTCTGTAAAGTTCTCTTATTGAAGCGAATACCGATTACTTGGTAAGGCTTCAACAAGTTTGGCCCGATAATTCCAAACGATAGGCTATATTCAGCCATTTTTCTAAATTAATTTTTGTAAAATTTCCGCGGTATAAGCTCAACTTCCTTCATTACAGGTGTGCGTTTCGCTTCGGCCCAGGCGTTCGACATCTTAGGAGAGTGGCGACCTTTTTTGACCGATATTGTTACAGTCGAAAAAATTTGTACCTTGAAATAGATCAGTCACTGACAGAATCTATCACGTCGATGTACTAAATCGGGACCCGTATCACTAAATCATGTTTGCACGGTAGGCTGCCACAGGCTTATACTCTCTTCTCGTCTCGCATTATTATATCTGACGATATCCAAATAAGTGAAAACAGCCTTATTTTGGAACGAAATTACCTGTGAAAGCCTATGCATTCTGACTACAAACCAATCGAAGAGAGTTTTCATCTCTATCTATGGGAACACTATTTTAACCTGATGCACCATGTTAACTTTATGCATTGATGCAGAAGAATAATAATGTTGACGCGTGTTATCCATTTTTATTCACGGCAGTGCACTAGTGCCACTGCAAAATGAAAAATCTACACTTTCGTTCCATCAGAATCCCTCTGCCTTCACCGACAACGTCGATTCTTGCTGTATTTATTCGTCATAAACTATACCGTATGCGTGTTGCTTCCGTACTGTCTCCGGCATACTAGCGTGGGAACGCAAGGGCAAGAGTAGTTCGTCACTCTAGCACTGCTAGACACTAGAAACCACCTGTGCGCGTAAAGCTCGTAATGTAGTTTCGGCAGATTCTATTTCATTCAAACTATTTCATTGTCGACCCCGCACACTTCCTCTTCCTTCAATTTTTTGATACTGGTACACCGAAAGCTACGTGTTTTGACAACGAACTCTCTTTCTCTCCCCTTACCACCCCTCGGTTATAATTCCTATGTATTCGCGAGAGGACTCGAAAATCATCTGCCAGTAGTGACTCATACATTGATATATTTATTCTCCTTCGTCCCTCGTCCATCAAACCCTCCCTCAGCAGACAAGCGCATTCTTCTTTTCCCTACGAATGATGTTGATTAAGTGGACACATACGCTTTCACGTATTCTGCCAACTTTTTTTTTCGTGGGGTACGGGCGACAACCCCCCGGCCACGCTGTAAGGGGTGTGTTTATTCCGCCATGTAACTGTGTTACCTTTGGGTCACTCACATACAAAATAGTGTTAGCATAGCTGACGGCCTTTTACTGTACCACAGACACACACTTAGGTTTATTAGTCAACTGCAGGAAAAGGTTTTTTGGTTCTTTCCCTATCCCGTCTTCCTTTTGCTGTTCTTGTGAATACCCTTAGGGTCCAGGCATCGCCCTTAGTGGAGCGTTGCGCTGCCAACGGCGCTTGCTACGGTGGCGCCATGTTAACGCAATACACTACAACAGTTGTACTGGCAGCAAGAGAAGCGCCCTCGGTAATCGCTTGTAATTCTCACTCAATCAACCCCGGTTATGAACCTTTGCTTCCAACTGTGCCTGCGTGTGCTAGTGATAAGGAGATCGGTTTGTCACGGTTGATGTGGCGCGCCAGCAAAAGAGAATATTTCATACAGAAACATTGTAATCTCACCTAGTTACACAGTATGGGGGGCGACGGCTTTTTTCGAAGACGTTTTTGTTATGAGGACATTTAGGAATAGAAGATTTGTAACGGTTCTTGATTGAACCATAATACTATGTGTAAAAAAGTAGCTTCCCGCAAGCTCACTACAAGAGTATAACTACATGTTGTGCCTTATGAAATCTACTTGCTAGTGTTTGATGAGACATATAAGGCTGCACCGCTGTCCCTTTGGCGACCGTCGTGTTGTATGCTTGTACCGAAGTATTACGACAAGATAAATCCGTAGTCTCGTCGATCGTTAGAAATGGTATTTCCTTCCATTATCTTTTTTACTCGGTTGCTTGAATATAGGTTATGTCAGCAAGGTTATATTAGAATTGTAAAGAACAAACTTCGGGGTGATTTCTTGTCCGTAACATAATTTTTGTAGTGCAGAAGCACAGGGACATCCAACTCGATCGCCTTTCCCATTTAACCCATGAAATCTGTTAGTCTCTGCTTACTTCAGAAACACAGCGTTGATTGAGTTCGGCCTATTTGGGTATTTGGAGCTGTAATCCACTCAAGGCTAACTATGCCTGACCAACTTAGAATAGCCCGCCAATACGACCTGCTACAATGAGAAGTTGATATAGTGTAGGCACTATTCAGGCTAACATCTGAAACGCACATTTGAGACTCTATATGTAGAGGATATACACATCTATACATTAAGGGAGGATTGCCGTCAATCTAGTAAACTACTTGAACTCCATCTATCTTGCTTCTTGATTTGATGTAGATAGTCTTTTAGCTGAAGCCCTTTGCAGTCTTTTTTCGTATGAACCACAAAGAACTGTGAACCTATTGACTGATGTTCAAGTTTTGCATATCAGTCGATAGATACCTTGTTCATTGTAGACCTTCACATAGCACCGCATAAAACAAAATTCTTAGTTGATGAAGAAGCTATTCAGAAGTTACGGACGCCCATCATATCAAGTATATTCCTTAATGAAGGCGACCAATGTTTAAGTGATTTATTTATGCCGCAAATATGAATAGTCTATAATAATGAATCAGGGGTCCGATCTTTGACCGTCTTAATAATAGGCTAACAACAACGAACCTTTTAGGGTTGCCTTTTTGAGAACCTTCATCGCGTAAAGAGTACCCGAATCAGGTCCGACTGTCTTCTTCACAAGGAATACTTTTCCAAAGGAGCCTTGGCCAAGCACCTTTAGCAGCTTGAATTGTTGCGGATCTGGCTTCGGGTGACCCTCTTTGGTTACATTGTTAACCTCTATCTCCAAAAGGCCACCTTCGCCATTTTGATCCTCTCCATTGTGCTCCTGAAAACAGAAGAAAACCAAAGCATCTAATTAATCGTTGTCTACTTCGTTGAATTCAACGCTTCTTACCTCTAGAAGATTAAAAAAATCACACGATTATAGTGAATACCTTGAACAAGCAAATCCGTCATGTTTCTCGAATTCTACGAGTTATTTTTGAGCTATTCTTCCTCTATTAGAAACCTTCAGTTGTATTTATCACAGATAGTGATATATTATCTCGGTATATAAGATCCATACATATTGTAGCTACGCTATGTAGGGAAAAAAAATGTATCGTGTGTCACCACCGACCGAAAACATTAAGTATCAACTTTACGGTCTTGTATCCCGCTAAAAATTGTATTGGCACGCAGATGAATGGAGAAGACGGCGAGATAAAGACAAGATTTTCTAGATATCAGACCCGATGGGTCATGGAACCCCAAAGAATAACACATCTACGATGCAAAATATGGTATCCACTGATTCGTGGGTGGTTGATTTCATCTTGCGTTTACGCACAATGGTTTTTTGTGAAGTTAACGCTCTGTACGGGTTGATTCTCGAGAGAATTGCACCGGACTATCTATGCATACACCTAAAAACAAACGAACTCTTTGATAAAGTAGACTGGATAAAAACTTTTTAGTTACTTTCATATTAACATCAAGCAGCGGCTAGATCCGATCTTCCACAGAGTATTTGATATTGAACGCCAAATCTGTACCGCCATGTCCAGGGACTAACGGACAAAGTAAAAATTATCCATTACATGATACCGACATAGCACCATCACATTAGTAATACATTTTTCGGGAGTATAGCATTGTAGAAACAATGATTCGAAAATGTTACATCTCTTAGCGGCGTTGAAACTCAGATCTACTTAATAGCGTAGCGCCGATGTAGTACAAAGGTAGCAAAGAACAGTACACGTGATGATAAAATAAATCTCATTAACAACTTCGTGTGTTTTCGACTTACTTCGCTGTTTTACTGTATTTTAAAGGAACGTATTCACTGAGCCTTCGCTGACTCTGTTCTGGCTGTCGCAAAACTTTTATTCGAATACGTTTAATCTCCGCCTGCTTTCTCTTTTCCGTACTTCCGTTCCATTTTCTATCTTCCGTTAATGTTCCTGCATCCTTATTATTTTCTATGTACGTATGTTCTTATCCCGGCCACGATAGCTTCCACTTTTTTTAATGTCCATTCAAATGTTCCAACTATGCCCAGAGCAACAAGCGATTGTCTCTGTTTTCCTATATTATCGTTCTGTTCCTTAACTCGTTCAGTTTACTGCTACCACCGCCTGCCTATCTGCCTTCAGAAACGGTACTTGATGAACCCAGGCTAAACGGACGTAGTCCGTGACTATCGTGACGACTCTCGAACGTTTGATATAATCGGTTAAGAGGCGTATCGAACTGCTTACGTCGACTTGTTATCGTTAACCGCTGGGTTGGTAAGCGAGCATTTTAACAACCTAATCCTATTGAAGGGGGCAAGGTAAGAGAGAAAAGGTAATTTCAATCAAGCGAAAAATTGTTATGCTCACCCGACATTACGCCGGCTGTTTGCTGACTTGATCTAAATAGAAACAAGCACAACCGAGGAGAACCCTGAAGGTGTAATAGTCCTGCTGTGTCCTGCCAAAACTCACAGTATTATACTTGCAATAATGCGAGATAGGCCGATCTTTTCGGTGGTCGTTGTCCGAAGATTTCGACCAGGAGTTTAATTCTTTCTATTTATCTAATGGAGAAAGCGGTCGGTGTTATCAGCATTTAGCAGATTCTAGGCAAGTTATTATTACAGAAGCATTTATAGCACTGGAACAAATCAACATTATGCGAATACAAATGCGAAGAAAACACAATGAATAGAATTCTGAACGCTTCTAGTCTAGCATGCCATGCGCGTTACCACAGAGGCGGCCTCGTACCAAAAACATAGATTTCTTCTTGTCAACGTGCGTCTTCCTGATGAATCTCAATAGTTCAACCATTGTCGGAAGAATCATGTTCAATTCGTTTGTATGCTCAGTTTATTGCGAACGATTGCTCAAGAGGTAAACGAACGAATCCAAACTAAATTAAATACAACCATAAACTGTACGGACGAACGCGGCCCCGTATGAGGTAACGATATAGATGGCGTTGCTGTTCAATTACCCAACGCAATTTGGCGGGATTGACTAGCCATAGGCACTACCACAGATTTTCACCAAACGAAGAAAAAACACGTAACTCAATCGATTATTTTGCTGCACGGGTCCCCTTAACACAGTCGCCTGTAGAAATGGCGGATGGATCGTCGTGCGTTTAGTCTACACAGATCGCCCTAAACACGCGTGCTTTTTTTTTTTCCGCTTGTAGAGGCGCAGGTTCATCCCTCGAGTGACATTCTCTAAACATCGACCGGCTTCTAGTAGTCAACGATTTTGACGAAACGTTGGCGCTGTTTGGTCTCCATAATCCGACACACTAGTGCGTTTCCTCTCTTTCTCTTTCCCTTCGTGTTTCGCTTTTTTTCCGTTTTTTGCGAGCGACTCTTATCCGTCGCTCCGCAGCCGGTTTCTCCAGTGGAAAAAAAAAAAGAATTCCCCATCGCTGCTGGTTGTTTTCTACTACGAGACACCGCTCCATCATCGCGACACTGCGTCGATTGGCAGCGGCACGACGGTGGCATGTTGCCTAAAGGATTTACAAGACTTAGTTCATTTCCCCTTACTTTGTTTGCTGGAGCTGGACACGACGCCACCGAACGCATCAGTTGTCGTTGCCTTGGACTTTACGCTTAGGACTGGCTTTGTTCGCTAGTTCTTGATTGTTCGTTTTCATTTTCTCATAAATAGTGCAGTTCTCATCCTGCTCTAGGACAAAGGCCAGTTTTTGTTATATTCAACATTAAATGACTATCTACAATACACCGATTAATTCAACCAAAGGCCAAACAAGAGTCGACGAAACGCTACAGGTCAAAGCTACAACTGTTGTAATATTTCTCTAATAAAACCAATAGCACTATGGTATCAGTCATCTCCGAGTTGTACAGATCTACGACAAACGCCTAGTTTCACGGACGCATATAGGTACCATCATTTTTAGTTAACTCAGCACTTCCATCTCAAACAAACGCAACGATCACTCTTTCAACATCATGTACTCTCACTAAATAATCTTTTTTTCTCGCGGTATACAGATCTGCATGTTCTTCTGCATATGCCAGTAACTCAGGTTTCTCTCTATTAAAGTCTCATTTTTTCTCTATTTGACGCATATGCGTGTATGCACGTACAGACCATGCCCACTTCCTCAGCTTCGTATTCAAAGCAGCAGTTATCCAGAAGATGGTGAAGCATGTTAAACTTAGGCGCATTTTTATAGTAGCGATTAACGACACATTATGGGACGTATTTATCGGCATCACTCGACACTTAATTGTCCCAATACATACGAGCGAGAAAAGGTGGCAAAGCAAATTTATTATAAAGACCACCGCCACATAGAGACACTGAATGGCCAAGACGTTTTTTGTCTACAAGGAGACTGCTAGACAATACGTACAGGAAAAGGCTCGACTTATCCGCGAGTGCGGCGTAAGTTGAAAACAATCGTCGCGGAAACGTTCTATCCACGCCCTGCTCGTTTGCTACTGCTCTATCGCACAAACAACTGGCAGCAAGAAACGAACGACATTAGTCATCCCGTAGACGTTCCGCAGAACAAATTTTTTCGCTTTGTTTAGCATCATAAGCTACACTGTTCCACTTTTTCTACACCATATTTTTTTCCTCGGAATCCACACTGTCTGTTTGTCCAATCGGAACTCAAAAGTAATAGCACCTCCGGCGAGCCTAGATCGCACGGGCCTTCTCGATTCGATGAAGAGGACCAGTTGGGGTGTGTCGGGTTACCCAGTCCCAGACCAGAGAGAGCGACCAGAAAGGCCGGCTGACGAACAAATTGATATCAATACAGAAGAATGTTTGCTGATGCGTTCAGTCACATCGTATTTCTGTCCCGAGATTTTCTCTTCTTGGTTACTTTTCGCGGAAAGCACACTGCGCCCTTACTTGACCGCAGAAGGCAAGTAGGTACGCAAACGAGGTTCTTCGCCGTTGATATGCCCCTTCTGCGCGAGTGCATCTTCCCTTAGCTACGCAATGCGATGACATAGACGTAGATATGGAGAGGCTCGAAGAACGTGGCATTTTCTGTTTAATCACAATATTACTGCGCTGCCAAATGGTTGTTTACGGACGGATCTGGACCCGCTGCAAACAAAAAATGTTTGATGGTCGAAACTCTCGAACCACGACACACTAGCGTTTAGCTAATCAACAATATGTCGGACATCGTGATTAAACGGCGGTAAATTCAAGCAAAATTACTACGGGAGTACTTACAACTAGCAGAGGCCATAATATGGAAAGAGTCGAAGGGTCCCCAAAAGCACAATATGGAAAAAAATATGGTCCAAGCTAACGATTCATATATAGATATAATAAAGCGGCGTGCACGGCCAATCACCCAGAGTACGTAATAGGAAGGCGATAATTAGTAAGCAATTTAAGTAGTGGCTTGTTTCTCACGATCTCCTTCCAGCAACTTCCTCCATATTCGTGCTACAATTGTTACCTTAGCTTTTTTTATCATTTGGCCTCTCCGCAGTGAGTGATATAGTGCCTACTACACAGCTCCGGCCAGCTGGGCGTCATCGTCGTCATGCACACGGCACGCTTCGTCCTAATAGGATCCACGCAATCTCAAAGAAAACAGACAAACTAGTATGTATTCTAAACATAGCAAACACGCACCCGACACGCAGCTCCACCGACCAGCTTTTACGTTTTCTTCGAACGTATAGTCGGCATTTTAGGTGATGAAAGAACGCTCAGGCTCTACCTAAAATACGCAAGTCCATCAAAAAACCTACCTTGTCCGCTAAGCTCTACGTGGAGAGTTGACTGACTGACTGACTGAACAGTTCGTACTAAATCACTACTACTCTCA